TGTGGGAGAACCGACATGAAGTTAATCTGATTTTAATTTAATTATCTGAGTTAGTTGCGGAGGGCATAGGCATTGGGGTGTTTGTTGTAAGAATGTTCTGACATTGGCGCAGGTATGGGGCAGCTAGCATGTTAATTAATGATGAAGATCCTGACAATATGCAGAGGCATGACAGCGTTAAGCCAGTCGGCTGCTGCTTCCTTTGCATATTAATAGATCCTTCATTATTATTTAATATGACAGCTGCTCCAAGGGCTACCATCAGACCTTGTCTCCCTTATTTGCTGTTTTGTGCTCCCCGTGTGACAGTGCCATGCTATTCTCTGTTTGTTTGAAACCTTTTTTTTTTTTTTTTTTTTTTTTTTGGTGTGGGGCTCTCTACATGATGTGCTGTTTGTTTTGCGCTCCGGAGGATTCTCCCTCCTCTGTGTATCAGAAAAGTGTCTGAATCTAAAGGTGACTTTGAAAGAATATATGATGCCGGATTGTTTTGTTTGCATAGTAATGAATGCAGATTAGCACCGGGCGGGACTGGCCCTGTTGATGTTCAGGCTCCTGGTGGCTAATAGACCTGTTGGTGGGCCCCGGCGTCCCCCACCTCCACATTATGTGGATATGACAATCGAACTGATGAAATGAAACAATCCTCAAAACAAAGATTTCCATTCACGGATTGTGTCACTCAGTCAAAGGCAGGGCGAGGGTTGAATCTGAATGATAAAAGCGATCACCCAGTTCATTTCACAGCAGTACAAATCAATTTATTGGCTTTTGATTTACACGCTTGATCAACACCCTCCCTTTAGGTGTGCTACAGGATCTCACAGTACAACATTTCCCATCAAAGTGAAGTCTGCGTTATGAATCGCTATTTAGTTGTTGTCAACATTTGACTTTGTCTGGTGAAATAAGTTTTCCAAACTGCTTAAGGTAAGACAGGCTTACCTTAAGCAGAAAGTAATAATGACTTGACAGAAAAATAAAAGATAGAAAAGATACAAATGAATTGTTAGCATCATGAGAATGCAGTAATTTGGTTACTGCATTATGTTTCTGTAGTGTGTTGTACAAAAATAACTTGACCTAAACTTGACTGGCTAACTGCTAACGACATTATGCTAATCTATCAGCAATAAGCTAGCAGGGCATTTCACAGTTTCTTTTAAAAGCAGTCCAACCTCTTTATAATTTCTTCTAGTTCAAAATCAAAAGTGCTCAAAACGCACAAAGATGCATTTTGACATTAGGGCCACCTCGGAATCAGACAAACATTTTGATTTTGAATTGAACTAAAATATTAAAAATTGATTGCAGATTTTGCAAAAAATAAAAACAGCTTGCTCCTTCCAACCAAATATTGCGTAGCAGCTTATCTCGTTCTAGTAAGCAAAGTTATCTGAGATTCTTTACAATAGTTCTTTTTTGCTTTTACAATGTATAGTTAAGCTTAAGATGATCCTTACCCCTGGAAAATTTAGGTTCAATATAATCTTTTCATTTGACCTCCATTTCTTCAGATTGAAAGCAGCGTTAAATGTTTGAGTCCCCCAGCCAGAGTCCTGACTTTAATCTGATTACCACATCATGTCATCACGAAAAGTACATCTTCAAAACACAAGTTTTGAAGATGGTCAGCAGTCATCAAAAAAGCTGGTCAGCAGTCATCAAAAGAGTTTAATTCCTGTCATGCAAGCACACATTTCCTTGAATGATCGAATGTTTCTGTGTTTCTGAGCACCATTGGGGGAATGTGGCAGTGTAGCGTCATTCATTTTGAGTGGTCAGAATGGCTACAGAGAGGAGCTAAATGATTTCACAACTAAATCTGTGAGGGATATGTCTAATTTTCTGGCATAGAGACCAATTTCATAAGAGGAACTGTTAGTTCCCAAAGATATTGCCAGAATTTCATTTTGTTCTTGTGAGCCCAATATTGTTAGTATCTTCTTGTTTTGTGAACTGGATGTATCGCCACACCCTTGGTTCTCCTAAATGCTCCTGTTTCCCTTTTCTTCACTTCACGATGGCTCCTGCAGTTAATCTGGTCCACCTCGGAGGACAGGCTGACTGTGTCGCTATAAACTGTGGCTCTCCTCACAAGTTAGAGAGCGTCGGTGAGCTCCACTGCGGCACTCCCCGTGAGCGGCACCTGATTTGTGGGGGGAATTTATCACACAAACAGCCCAGAGGTGATTTCAATATTTACTCGGCAGTCTGTTCTGCATACGTCTCATTTGGAAAACAGTTGACTCTTGCCCATTATACACAAATGAAGGCTGACCTTCAGGCTGGGCAGAGGCCACATTCATTATGTGAAGAAGTATCACCTTCTTATGAGGCGATGGCGTCCAACCCTCTCCGCCCCCACCACCAGCCCCTTCGTCTTGCTTTGCTTATGCATATGGAACAGCGAGCCAGGGTCCATTGCAAACGAGAGGGCCCAGGCTGACATGATGTATACTGTACGTCAATATGGTACTGATGTATTTTAAGATGCAAACAAGGCTTTAAATTATATGCACCTCCATGTCAGCGGCTCAGAGTGACTCTCACCATCTGGGCTGCGGATGAGAAAAAAGGCCGTCCAGGCTCCGGCTCGCATGTTTTTTTTGTTTTTTTTAGTTTCTTTCCACAGTGTGTTTGCATCTATTAGAGCCACGTGTACGATTCCCACCTCTCCCTGTACTCGTGTCTCCTCTCGAATGCATTGCTAATAGCTGCGTCGAGTCCCATCACTGAGACGTGACAGCTTTGCGACGATAAACGCCGACGCGGCTTTGTTCTGCGTCAAAAACGTAAGGCAAACCGGCATATCAACTACAAACAGCCCGTGTAAAAGGAGGGCAGGTGATATACGGCATTGTGTGTCTGAGTTATAACAGTAATAGGTACATATCTTGTTTTCTTTTTTCCTTTTTTTTTTCTCTTTTTGCTCTGCATCTTTGATTTCCTCACCGATGTTGGCAAGAAGAGTTGCAGGACTCTCCTGAGACTCACCGGGCCTGGAGGAGCTTTAACACTATATCAGTCCCTGCTGTTTGAAACCAGCCTCATGAATAAAGATTTGAGTCACGTTCGATACACCAGAACCCCGGAACTACCACAATGACAAACCGGTGCTTTATGATCTCTGCAGTGTGCCAGGCATACGTGCGTCTATAATCCCACTCTCACTATATCAATCATAGCCGGTTCATTTTGATTGATGTTGGACAACCGTGTCACAATTTGCTATTCTGCAGCGTATTTGGGGGATCGCGGTGGAAATGTGAATGATTATTTAAAGTGTGATGTCAATATTCATTTAGTCTACTCAGGAGGAACAGCAGCCTTTGGCGCGAGCAGATGCATGCAAAATTCTCTGAGCTATTTGGCATTTTGTCAGAAATTTTTCAAGTGATATGCATACAAACCAATGTGAGGTAATTGGTTTACAGGGTTCTTCGAGCTGCGGTGGAACGGGATGATTTTTCGTCGAGTTTTCACACAAAAAGAAAGAAAAACTCTTGAGAAACTGTTCACCCAGAATGCTGATTTTCACAGCAAATGTTGAAGGGTGGGAAGTGGTGAGAAGAGAAATGAAACATTGCCAAGTTACCACAAATACTAAACACAGAAATGTAATGATCTTAATTACTGTTAGTTCAAGTAGAAAAACTGGCTTAAACTGCTGCTTAGACAGGAAAACACATCAAAAATAATAATTTCTCTTGCATCTAAATGTTAGCCACAAAGAGGTATAACTTTTGGTCAAATATGTTTTGCTCTTAGCTAGCTAGCTTGCATCTGGCTGCCTAACAGACATCCTGCTAATCATTGTACTTTAATAAAGTGTTACCTGAAAAACGGTGATAGTGGGAATGATATACTTACACAGCATTGCTATTTGGGCTTTATTTGTGACTAGAACTGTTTTTAAAACAGCTAAATTTGTCCTTTTTTGTCACCAAAAAAAGTGATAGGGACCTTCTTTCAGCCAGCTGACAGTCAATGCACAGCAGCACTGCGTCACTTTTACACTTCATACAGTCAGAGAAATATGTAAGGGTTTTGTTCTTGCACCTCATTAAAGGAACCGAAAACCTTAAGGTGCAGCATTGGATGGAAACTTTTGGGATTCTTGAGCCTATAAGGGACTGGAAACTTCTCCACTGCCTCATCCCAAGGTTTATCTTTTTCTCCCAAAAGCCATCTTTGTCTGACCTTTTAAATGTGCATTTAGAATGAAAGTGCCATCATTTACTTTACGTGTGTTGTCTGTGTTTTATTTTTACATTCACACTAAATTCAGCAAGGCATCGTTTCTCTTTTTACCAGTTCCCATTCTAAATGTCTTTTTAAAGGCTTTATGAAAAATTGCTCACTTAAAACTAAACTAGCATAAAAAAAAGAAAAAGAAAAAAACCCAAGTGCCTGCTGCTCTGTTCTTAGCTTGAGTTTGTTTAAACATCAGCTATAAATATGTTGATTAGATCACTTGAACGGACTTAAATTGTCATCAACAAGAATCATTGCCTGTGTTGCTTGAGCCTCTCTAGCTTTCTCTTCCCTCTTGTGTCAAACAGTATTTCATACACAAACACGTTGCGTGTTACAAGCGGCGCGCGCGCGGATCGCTTGCATCGTGCGCCATTATCTCGACTGCATCGGTTCCTATCAGGGAACAAATACATCAGTACAGCGGGGGGGCCTGCTGGAGTCCTGGAAACATTCATACAAATCATATGCCGCCAAACACACACACAGGGATCCATCTCATCAGCATGATAACCTGCTGGGAAGATCTCCCCTGTCAGTAGATGAAACACCAATGCGCGCATTTCGCAGGAGCCCGTTCCGCGCCGTAAATGAAATTATTTAGCGTTCCTCCTCATTACGGTTTGAGTCGGTTTCGCGCGTTTGTCGTTTGGATTCGCCGTGGAAGGGTCCCGCGGGCGCCTCTCGCAGAACGATGCGGCAGATCTGTAAAGCTCTCCGTCTCGTCTGCCTCCTCTCTCCAGGCCTGACGGCGGCCGCGGCGGCAGCTGCCAACGCAGCCATCGCGGAGGCCATGAAGGTCAAGAAGATCAAGCTGGAGGCGATGAGCGGCTACCACGGCAACGCCAACCACCACGGGGCTGACGGAGAGAATGGAGACCTCAGCTCCGGCGTCGGTGAGGATGCCCTTTAAACGCACACATGCACTGTCACAGACAAATCTGCAGTCGCATTAATGGATGACAGACGCGAGCTGCAAAGCATTTTAATACAACTGTATCGACACAAACACATTCTAGACCATTTGCTGCTGTGAAGGGACGTTTAGTAAAGAATAATATCCATATATGTTATCAAAATAGAAAATAATGCAGATGACCCGATTTTATACTACGACTTGTTGCTTGTCTAAGAGTTACTATGCTATAAAAATAACATTTCAGGGTTTTTTTTCAGCTTACCCTTTATTGTTACTGTTTCTGTCCAAACATAATGGTTGCTGTAAAAATTCTGTGAAATTTTACAAATATAGATGTGTAAGCATATCGTTATATCTGTATATATGTTTTAAATATTGAAAGGATTTAAGTTGATTTTTTTTTTTAAATCCACATGTACAAAACAATGCAGGAAACTTTTTGAGTGTTTCAGATTATATCAAAACGAAATACATGAAATATAAATCTTAATTTCTAAAAAGCAATTAATATTGCTTTAAATTGTAATTTTATGTCCAGCTTGTTGAATGTTTTGATGTCATTCATTTTCACCAGCAAGATAAAGATATTGCATATGAGTTTAAAAATCTGCGTTTGATCATTTAGAAGAGATTTGGAAAACATCTGATTTTATAGAGGTTGGAAAGGAGCCGATCGAAGTTTTTTCAGATGCAAAAGGAAGCGAAATACAAACATGACCAAAATCAGAGGCTCAACTTCAGGATAATGTGCACCAATCAGTCTGGTGATCCAAATTGGCCAATTTCCCATTGATTGTCTTGCAGGTGAAATCCTGACAATCGTTTTGCTTTTGAATTTTAACCCTCCTCCCCATCATTATTTGCATCCAAAACTAAGAAACTCGAGTCATTTTCAGCCAATAAATGGATCGTAAAAATGCATCTTCTTGGATTTTCTGAGGTTTGCAAAAATCAGATAAAGTTTTGGGGACTTTGAATAGGAATAGATGTGAATAAATCTTTAACGCCTGTTAGATTCAAAACTACTTCTTCTATCAGGAGGCCGACAACATGTCTTTATTTCACTGGTCAACATGCGGTACACTTGATTCGTTAAAACATATTTCCACATGTGATTTTACGCATATCGCAATTCAACACAATGAGCAGAACAGACTTAGTTGCAAAAATCTGATTAAACCAGCAAGTGCGTCTCAAGACTGGAGAGATAATGTGTTGAACAACTGAAAACCTAGAAATGTGTGCATGCAAAAGTAGGAATATTTTTGAAAATCTTTTATTTTAAATGTGCTGAGAAGCAAGGAGTGAAATAGAAAAATCTCCGCTTATGCTCCGACCTGAACCTTTAACTTCTTTCAGCGGTCAAGTTTCAGTCAGAATCCTGCAAAGCCTAAGTGGCCTTACGCATGCAGCTCAACTTAAAACCAAAGATTTGCATGGTTCATCCCGATGCCCCCGCTGTTTTTTCCAGTTGTTTATGACACGGTAAGCTGCCGAGTGTGATGTGTTTGCATGCAGTGAAGCCTCTATGTTCGGTGCGAGTGGGAGTCTTGTTTTCTCTTGAAGTCTGTAACGTTGAAAGGGAAAAAAATAAATAAATAAAAAAAGGGGGCCTAATTGCAGAGTGAAGCTGTGAGCACAGTTTACCCCAGCTATGAGCTTTTTAACACGATCTAATTGAATTGCTGTGAGAGCTCTGGTTTTTCACAATGTGCCGTTTCAATTAATTATTAGCCCTAAAAAGCAGAAGGAGTTCTGTAATATCACACGCAACCACTTAGTGAATTAAAGAGACTGATAATGTACGCTGGGGCAGATTCACAAGGCCTTTTCAGAACTATAAACCAGATGAAATCCCTGCAGCATGGGACGCTAAATCGAGGTTTCCGTTCACTTACTGTGATAAACAGTCCCGTTTCTAAAGTAACACTTGACACAGTGGAGATTGTGGCGCAGGAGATGAAAACAGGATGCGTTTCAAAGCCGATTTAACAATGCAAAATGCATAAAGCGTGAGGTCATCACTCCAAGAGAATGGAGTGTGTAAAAGGCATGAGGAAAAAAAAAACAAAAAAGAAATTGGGGGAATATGAGCCTCCGAGGTCACGGAAATAAAGATAAATGTGAGCACCAAACAGCAAGGCTGTGGCAATGGAGCTAATAAGAAACTGTTTTATCTTTTTACAATTTAAATTGTAACCTTGAGTCGCGCAGCCAGCCACACAAGGCTCTCCGGAAGAATCATAATTCTGGGTAAAAAAAAAAGAAGAAAAAAAAACAGAAAAGAAAAGGAGGGAGTGCTTCGAGGTGTGGGCCGCGGCATTAGCTCTCTGAGTGAAATATATGGCAGTGACGCCTCTCAGGCCCATCCACAATCAATTGGATTCTTTTCCTTTAATATTTACTCCCAGCGATGAGATGCTCGTCTGCATGGTGATGAACAGTCTGCCACTGGCGTTTGAAGGTGACCTGTCAGTGAGTATGGACAAATCTCTCGCTCGCAGAAATGTAGAAAATAAATCATTAGGGGCAGGCAGTCAGAAATTGGGGAGGGATGAGGAGGAGGGGGGACTTTAGAGGGGGAGAGACTCCCTCTATTCCCCCCTCTTCCCTCCCAAAACCCCCCCTCCTCTCCGTCTCTCCTCGGATTTAAATCAGCTCAGATTTATGATTTGAATTAATGCTCCGTTTGGTCAAAGGAATGTTCGGAGAGACAAATGATGTTTGGTACTGAAACCATCCTAATATTGATTACTGGGTGTCGCAGCAATCTCTTGTTTATATCAAGCACTCTCCTGTGACAGGGTGGCCAGCAGGAGTCATCCTGATAATACGCTGGAGATATATGGCCCTGGTTCTGCACTGTGGAGCCATGAAACGAAGGAAGCAGCGCGCCGTCCTCTTTTTTCTTCTTCTTTTCTTTTTACGCCCCCCTCTGACTCTAATGGAAGCATTTTGTAACTTTACTTTAAAAAAACAACAACAACAAAACAAAACGGGCTCAGTTTAAACTGATTTATGAGCGAAAATGTGAATGTCTGCTATGTTCAATTATCTAAAGCAATCATCAGTCTTGTTTCTGACTCCGCACGACTGATTTAGTAAAGCTTTGACCTATTCCAAATCCAGATTGTCTTTTAAAATAAATAAAAACAAATTAAACATTTGTCATGTGAGGTAAAATGTACATAGTACATATTTTTTTTCCCAAAATGACACAAAGTTGTGAACTCATCTGCCTCATTAATAATATTCACCACTAAGTCCTTCAGCTTAAGAGGTTTTGCAAGTTATCTGTTGAAATAAAACTCAATTATTAAAGTAACTGAGAATCTAATGCTAATCGGCGCCACAATTTCAGCATCTGCAATACTGTAGTCATGACTTTTTAGGTGCCACATTTGGTAGACCAACACATTTTAGGTCCTGCGCATTAAAACTCTACCTATGAATAATATATTTTACTACTTTGAAGGACTTTTGCTGCATTTTATGACCTCTACTCAGGTAGATCTCATTGACCTGGCTGCTAAGGCTCAGGGAAAGTTGCAGACATGTTGATCACAAAGCATGTTTATCAAACAATCATTATTTTATAATCAAACTATAGTAAATATATCGCTTATTGTCTTACGCAGCCTTAGTTTAAACATCAGTAAATGTTTGTGTTTGTAGGCGCCAATTTTTGGAAAATTGTTTCCTTCCTAGAAGTTTTGAGGTTCTTCAGAAAACAGTTAACTTTATTACCTCTTCCTTTGCTGTCAACTTCCACCTTAAAGATAGTTGTCGTCAGCATGACCTACTCAGAAAAAAAAATTAATTAGTCAACAGTCAGAGCCAGCAAAGCTTAAAATCTACAAATCTAGTTCACCTCCACCATTATTAAAAAGCAGTCCAAATATATGGATCCCTTTAGTGACACGGTGTGGGTAGGAAGGGAAAGTGCTTTTGGCTGCAGTTTCGTTGAAAGAGCAGTCGAACTGTTGCTCACAGTGCTGCTGACTTGGGAATTTCCCTGCGCTGTTTTAAAGTCCGACTCCGACCACGAGCGTCTCCTTGGAGACCGACTGACATATTATAATCATCCAGCTCCAAGCCACACAGAACCGACATGTTTGCTTAAACAAATCATGTGACGACCAAAGATAGGAATTGATATGTTAATGTGCTCTGATAATACCACTCAGGACGTGGATCCATTTAATCAGGAACAACCACTACATAAACCAACTGAGGGGGGAAAAAGAGGCAGAAATACAGGTGCTTTGTCTTGGTGTCTGAAGCAGAGTCCCCCTTTTTTTATTGTTATTATTATTTATTTTTTTTATTGTGAAGCGCTTGAAGAGAGCCGGCCAGTGAAGGACACTCTGTGCTGTTTGTGGAGTTGGATTGCCCACTGCCGTCTTTGTGTTGATGTAAATTGAACAGGCTAATGTTTCTCTCTCCCATTAAATATTCATTACAATTAGACATTCCTGTTTGCATCAATGTTATTAATTATGAGGGGGAAAAAAAACTTCAACCCTTTGCCAAAATATTAAACCAGAGACAGAAAAAAAAATGAGCATGGGAAAGAAATGATGGATAAAGGAGTGGAAACGACAAATAATTACGAAGGGAGATGGAATAAGAAGGGTGTGGGGGGTCCGTCTTTGATTTTTTTTTTCTTTCCCCTCGCAGTCTTTAGTTGTGCAGTAGGGAGCCCTCTCAAAGCACAATGTGGATTGTTCCTGCGCCTCTCAGGAAATGCCACAATTACAGATCACAGACCGAGTGAAAACACGTGTGGCGCTCAGCCTTGAGGGGGATAAACTGCCCGCGCCGTCCCCTCCCAACGCATTGACCCCGGCCACAACCTTCATTACTGGCAGCAAAAATATTGTCAGCTGCCTGCTAACAAACACCTGCCAATTTCAAGGGAAGGAATTGCTTTTGTTTTCCAGAGTGCACAAGAAAAATAAAGTGCTTTTCCCTTGA